TGGAGATCTTATAGTAAATATTGTTGGGTGAGCTATAGCTGAGGGGCCTTCAGCATGAGAGCATTTTTTCTCTTTTAGCCCTTTAAAAAATGTTGTTGTGAAATGCCCTCTAGTGGGCTCCGATTCATAGTGACCCTATGTGCCCAGTCCTTCATCCTCACCGTTGTTGGTGTGTTTGAGTCAATTGCCACAGCCAGTGTGTCAATCTGTCTCATTGAAGGCCCTCCTCTGCTTTGCTGATGCTCTACCAGAGACGTAACTAGGCTATGTTGGGTAGGGCATTTGTGCCGGGGGCATCTCTTGAGGCAGATACCAATGAGTTTCTAATCACCATAGCTCTTTCCGTAGCCAACTATGAGACATCACCCAGCAATTTAAAATCAGTTGCCCTAAGCATTGGGGAACCAAAAGGGAAGAACCATCCTCAGCATATCTCAAGCTGAAAGAAGTCAAGAAAAAATCCATTCCTCAAGTTGAACTATTGAAGGATCCAATACATAAAATAATGGGTGAATCGGGAAGCATCAAAAGAAGATGGAAGAAATAGCCAGTCACTATTCCCAAAAGAATTAGTTGGCATTCAACCATTTCCAGAAAAAGATTTCCAAAGTGCACAGAAGACAGTGAAAAACAGGGTTCCAGACATTGACAGACGACCAACTGAAATGTATCAACAAACAGATGCAGCACTGGAAGCCCTCACTAGTGTATGCCAAGAAATTAGGAGACAGCTACCTGGCCAACTGACAGGAAGAAACTCATATTTGTGCCCATTACAAAAAAACATTACACAACAGAATGAAGAAATTACTGAGCGATATTCTGAGTACCATGCTACTAAAATTTTGCAGAAGATAATTCAATAACGGTTGCAGCAATATGTTGACAGCTGCCAAAGATTCAAGTCAGATTCAGAAGAGGACATGGAATAGGTATATCAGTGCTGGCATCATATGGTTCTAGGCTGAAATCCAGAGAATATCAGAAAGATGTTTACCTATGTTTTATTGACAAGGAAAAGGTCACTTAGCCCCACCAGGTTGTCCATCAGTCACCTTGCCAAAGACCATGGATCCATTACAAATTATCAACAAGCCTAGCCCCCTTGTGCTAGGTCATAAATTTCAGTCCAGTCAACCTGCTTTCGTCTTCTCTTCCAGTTCCTGTAAACCAGATCCATGGGTGTCAGTGGCCAGGCTCAACCCATCTCTCTATTGCTGCTTTTCTCCCTCTTCTACTCAATAAGTGGATCCAGGTGGTCACCTAGCAAGCATTTCAGCCTGCTCACAGGCTCCCTTTAACATTCAGTCCTAAAGAGGAGTTTTCTTCATGGTTCCAGATTTTTTCCAGCTTCAGACAAAAAGCCACTGGAGTTCAAATTGGAAATATCCAGAGAGTTCCTTTTTTCTCTTCAATCTGTCAATCTTGCCCCCAGGCAAATCTCTTGGAATGCAAATGTCCTGAGTACTCTAAAACACTGAGTGGGGCTAATCTCTTCAGTTTTCTTTGCAGGTATGTCCTAAACCCATTTGAAGATCAAATTAATGGCTCAAGGCAAGTGGGCTTACAAGCTCTCTATTTTCATACTTCCCAAAATTATTTCTATAAATCCTCATATTTACAATAATAAGCAGAAGAAATCAGTATAAACAAAGTAGAATCATATACCAAGCTCAATGAAGACAGTCATTTTCAATCCTTATTTAGCTCATCTTAATCCTTATCTAAACTATTCTATTTAAACAAAAATATGGTATTAAACCTCTGAGGGTATCAAACCAGACAGAGGCTTTCTGTCAGCCATTGTCTCTAAGCAGCAAGGTCTCTGAGAAATTCAAATGGTGATTTCCACCCCTGAGTTCAAAATATACATCAATCACATTCATTTTTGTCATTTCACACAGGAATAACCAAAAACTACAACTAAACAAAATAATCAAAACTTTAACTTCCCATATTCTTTACAGAAAACAACTCAGTAAACTGTATGGACATATCTGACTGCAGCTAGCCAAATAAGAAACACTACCAGGAGGAAGAAGTTAAATAAATATCTACTCTCCATCGT